ACCATATATTTTCTTATATTCTTTAATGATAATAATATTTGTAGACATTATATATTGGATTATTATAATAAATAAATTTGATTTCATATAGATTTTAATTAGTAGGGATTTATTAGTTATTTTTAAAAAAATATATAAATATTGGGAATATGTTTTTTGCGCATCGCGCATAGAAAAGACTAGTATAGTAATAAGAGCCAATAAAGTTAGGCCTATAACAGGAACTAAAAAATGTCCGTCCAATTAGTTGATGAACAGAATGTGTTGGTTTTACGACCTAAGGCAGCTGTTCGGCAGGTCAACACTACCATAAAATACTAGGTTAAAGGAATAAATTGTTTGTGAGAAGAAAAATGAGCAGAGTAACATTAATAACTTGAATTGCAAATCCCTTACAATGTGACCCCCGGGGTAATTATACAAGGAGTTAGATCTTCTACAAGGCAAGAAGATGCAATAACTAACTAAAATTACTCTTTAAAAACTACCAAAACCAGCACATTAATTGCCTAAAATGAGAAAAGGAAGCTACTTCCCGCCCAAGGAAACAATCTCCACGAAATCCGTCCTTAAATGCCTCTGGGACACATACTCGGGCTTCGACCGAGTGCTCACCAATTCCTTCAGCTAGGATAAGAGCACTCAACCTGGCACACACTGATGTGCCATCTGGTTTCTCCACTTTCCTGACTGGTTCCACGAATCGGTACAGTCGTTGACATTTAATTATGGAAAATCCTCGATCTCCACCGGTTACAGCCCCGAGGCACGTCTTTTTGTAACCGTCTCATTAGTCGTTACGTCTCTCCCCTACTGCCCAATAGGGGACACGTGTCACGACCTAACCGTTTGGCCATACTTATAAATGTCTTTCCTTCTCTCTTCTCTTAAGCAACTTCACTTCTTCTTTCTCTCTAAGATTCTGTCGAACTCCTTCCTTCTCACTCCTTTTCCGTCCACCAACACCCTTCTCACCCTAGATTCAGTTTCGTTCTGCTTTCCTACCGTCGCCTTCTTCTTTCCAACAAGGTTTGCCCCTTTCATGTCCTTCCTTCTTTCGCCTTTTCATTATGTCTTCGTCGCAAACCCCCATTGCTTCTTCCTCTGGTGCCCGTCAGGGTCAAACTTCCAACCCTCTAGCCACTACTTCTCTTCTAGCGGCGGCCCAAGGCCCCACCTCAGTAGCCCCCGTGGACCCTTTGATTGACAGGGAGCAAGGCTACTTAGTGGATTTAGAGTGGCCAATCGGCCGTCGCTCCACCCATTCTCAAGCGGATTACCAGCACGCCTGCCGGCTGCTAAGCGTGGCTGCGGTGACTCAACGATCGAGCAACCCACTGGTCAGTGACCCCCCGGAAGGTGGTTACGGAGGGATCCACTACCAGTCGATTTGCTATGGGTTCCGAGTACCTATTTTTCCTTTTCTCACCCTTTTCCTCTAGTACTACGACATAGTGCGCGGCTAGTTGGTGCCCAACTCCAACCGCCTCCTAGTCTCCTTCCTGACCTACTTCCACCGTCTTGAGGTGCAAGCCTCCTTGCCCCTTTTTCACCAATTCTTCCAGCTGACCATGGTCGGCTCTTTTACAACACTTCGCCCAACTTGGGCTTTGATAACAAGGGAGGAGTCAGGATATACTTTTTTAGATCCTTAAAGGCATCCTGACATTCCCCAGTCCACTGGAAGCATTCCTGTTTCTTCATAGCTTCAAAGAAACGCAAGGGCGGTCAGAGGACTTAGACAAGAAGTGGATGTGTAACACCCCACTTTTCTTAAATCTAAATGACAAATACTTAACTTCAAAAGAATACTAAATAATGTCAAAATAAGATTAATAACTTAAAACCATCCCAAAGGGTGTCACCGCCACAATCACCACACGCGATGATTGCACAGGCTAGCAAAAACTCTAACTAAAGGCAAGTTTAAACAAACTACTGTTAGTCAGTGTTATTTATTTATATTCTAAAGTTATATTATGTGGCTTAGAATAGATTGACTTGAGCTTCTCAGTCTGTTAAGAGAACTCTCGTAGCTTTGTTTTATATAATCTATAATTTCATTCTGTTATGATTAATTAATGAAATTCATATTCCAATTTGGTATCAGATAGGTTACGATCTCTTCGTTTCTCTCTCCACCTAACCCCTCAATTCGAATCACAAACGAATTCTCCCCGAAAGTATGTCGCAGTCATCCGAGCGTACGATTTCCGCTGGTGGTACACCTTCACCGGCGGTCTCCAATCAGTTGGCCGACGCTCATTATCACGTATCCATCAAGCTCAATAGCAGAAATTTTCTCTTTTGGAGGACTCAATTAATTCCCTTCTTGAGAGGTCAGGATCTGCTGGGGTACGTGGATGGATGTACGCCATGTCCATCGGCCACAATTGCCGCAACCGCGACTGGAGAATCCGGCTCAGGTGCAACGCCGGCATCCGGCGTCTCTCCCAATCCCGCGTACAAGGCTTGGATCCTCCAAGATCAATCGATCCTATCGATGTTGATCTCCTCCATGTCCGACGAAGTATTGCATCTAGCGGTCGGACGGGAGACTGCCGCGGCATTGTGGACGTCCATCAACACGACGCTCGGCTCCTCCACGCAGGCACGGTGTCTCAGCCTCCTCGGACAATTCCAGTCACTGAGGCAAGGCAGCTTGTCGACCACTGAGTATTTGGGGCATGCTGAGGTGATCGCGGAGGCATTAGCTCAAGCGGGCAGACCTCTCTCCTCCTCTGAGCAAATGTTGTACGTGATGCGGGGTTTGCGGCAAGACCTTCGAATCATTGCTGCTTCCTTGACTGCTACCAACGCCGCTGTCTCTCTTCCATAGTTAGCAGACTTCCTCCAAGCCCAGGAGTTTATCATCTCCGATGATTACTCTATTGGTGGCGAAAACAGTGCAGGGCTGACTGCCATGCATGTTGGGCGAGGCCGAGGATCGGCCGGCGGGCAGTCCGGCAACGGCCAGCAGTGGCGAGGAGGACGCAGTGGTAATGGACGGAATAGTCGGGGCAGAGGCAACCGGAACGGGCGTGGCACTCCCAAGTGTCAGATTTGCCGTGCTCAGGGGCATACGGCAGTGTATTGTTACAAATGATACACGACGCAACCTCCGGCCGAAGCACACGTAGCTACCACCGGTGAACCACCCGTGACGCCGTCGGCAGCCTCGTCGGATGGCTGGTTTCCGGACACAGGCGCCACCGCCCATGCCACACCGGATGCGAGCATGATGACGCGCTCAGATGAATACACCGGGCCCGATGTCCTATGAGTTGGGAACGGCGCAGGTTTGACTATCTCTCGCGTCGGGCATGCATCGACCCCTTCCGCGTCCAAAAATCTTAGTTTGTCTAATGTGTTACATGTCCCCAATTTATCCGTCCTGTTACTGTCAGTTAATAAGTTCACAAAAGAAAACGGAGTTTATTTTGAATTTCATAATGATTTTTTTTGTTGTGAAGGATTCCAAAACCAGGGTCACTCTGTCAACCTCCGGGGGATTGTACAAGCTTCCGCTCTCTCAACCCCAATTTGCCTTTGTCAGTTCCCGTGCCACTCCTGAAATATGGCACCGCAGGCTAGGTCATCCGCATGGTGTTGTCCAAGATCGGATTCTAAAGAGTTGTCCAGTTTCGACCAATAACCAAAAATCATTGAAGTTATGCACGTCTTGTCATCTCGGCAAATCGTGTCGTTTCAAATTAGATAATGTTACGCATACTAGTACGAATGTATTAGACTTAATATTCACGGATGTATGGGGCCCGGTTCCCGTAGTCTCAAGTAGTGGTTTCCGTTATTTTCTATTATTTGTAGACGACCATTCCCGTTTCTGTTGGTTTTATCCATTACGGGTAAAATCAGACGTTTATAAAATTTTTGAACTGTTCCGTGTGATGGTAGAGCGACAATTTTCGCGCTCTATCAAAAGTATACAATCTGATATGGGGGGTGAATATCAAAAGTTACACACTCGTTTCCAAACACTATGTATTAATCACCGTAAGTCATGTGCATATACACATGAACAAAACGGACGAGTTGAGCGCCGTAACCGACATATTGTCGAAACGGGCGAAGGGTCCGTACCAATGGAGTATTGGGACTTTGCGTTTGAAACCGCAACATGTCTAATTAATTATCTCCCAACACCCGTGTTAAACTATGAAAGTCCCTACTTGCGTCTACACAAAGTGTCTCCTCCATACACGTTTCTTCGAATTTTCGGGTGCCTGTGCTATCCTTATCTTCGGCCTTACAATCGCCATAAGATAGAATACCGCTCAGCACCCTGTGTCTTTCTTGGATAGCCCCCGTCCTTTAGGGGATATAGATGCATGGACTGTACAACGGGGAAAGTTTACATCTGTCGTCATGTCCGGTTAGACGAGACGGTGTTCCCGATGGTCCCACGCCCAAATGTCACACCGGAGCCCCCAGAGTCTGAACCCATGCCGTTAGCCTGTGAACCTGGTCCTTTAGCCATCACCAGGCCGCCTCGTCGCAGGGCTAAACGACAACGCACTGAGCCTCAGGAACGAGGTCACACTATGCGTCTTCGACATTAGACTAGGGGCACGAACGAGTCTTTTCAGGCCCTTAATATTACTACTGATCCTACATGTTATTCCCAGGCTGTAGGGCATCCAGAGTGGCGTGACGCCATGGATCAGGAGTTCAACGCTCTGCTTCACAACAGCACCTGGCGTTTGGTTCCACCAGCACCGCACATGAACATCATCGGCTGTAAGTGGGTGTTCCGCACCAAACGCAGGGCTGATGGCACTGTGGAGCGCTATAAGGCACGTCTAGTTGCCAAAGGCTTCAACCAGGTGGCTGGCGAGGACTTTTTCGACACTTATAGCCCGGTGGTAAAGCCGACTACTGTTTGGCTGCTATTCTCCCTTGCTATCTCCTCCAGCTGGACGATGCGTCAGCTGGATGTCCGTAACGCCTTTTAGAATGGGCATCTAGCTGAGACTGTTTACATGAAGCAGCCACCAGGATATGAAGATCCGACACACCCGGATCATGTTTGTCATCTGCAGCGCTCTTTATATGGGCTTAAACAGGCCCCGCGGGCCTGGTTTAAAAGGTTACATGACTTCTTGATTCTTGCAGGTTTTAAGTCGTCGAAGACTGACGTTTCTTTGTTTCACTACACCGCCGATACATCTCGGGTATATCTACTTATTTATGTAGATGATATCATCATGATGGGCAATGATGAGACGTTGATAAACACCTTACTACAACGACTTGCCACCGCCTTCAAGATCCGTGATCTTGGCAAACCGGGATTCTTTTTAGGGATTGAAACCATAGCAGTCAATGGAGGCTTGATTTTGTCACAGAGGCGGTACATGACGGATCTGCTCAATCGTGCCGGGATGCTTGACTGTAAGCCACTCACCACACCGGCGGCTGTCACAGTATCAGTGTCCTCGGACGCCTCTCCCTACGAGAACCCGACTCAATACAGGCGTATTGTGGGGGCCCTCCAGTATTTAACGATTACGAGGCCGGACTTGTCCTACTCGGTGAACCGTTTGTGTCAGTTTATGCATGCACCCTCAGACGACCACTGGAGTTTGGCCAAACGGGTGTTACGTTATATAAAGGGCACCTTCAACTTCGGCTTACGCATTGCTCCGTCCACATCCACGACTATCCAGGCATTCTCAGATTCTGACTGGGCAGGTTGTCCGATAGACCGGAAGAGCACAAGTGGATATGCTGTTTTTCTCGGGACCAACTTAATCTCGTGGCTGTCCAGAAAGCAGCGTACGGTTACACGTTCATCCACCGAAGCAGAATACAAAGCCCTAGCCGATGTTTCCGCAGAAGTAACATGGGTGGTTTCTTTACTCCGGGAGCTAGGGCTGCATTCTTCTCATCCGGCCACCTTGTGGTGTGACAATCTTGGAGCGACTTATCTGTGTGCAAACCCTGTCTTTCATGCACGGACAAAGCATGTTGAGATTGATTATCACTTTGTTCGAGACAAGGTCGCCTCAGGAGACTTCGTTGTCAATTTTGTGTCAACTAAAGACCAGCTTGCAGACATCTTCACTAAACCGCTGACAGGGCCGCGGTTCACTCAACTTCGTGACAAGCTCAACGTTGTAGCGCACCAACCTTGTGCTTGAGGGGGTGTGTTAGTCAGTGTTATTTATTTATTTATATTCTATAGTTATATTATGTGACTTAGAATAGATTGACTTGAGTTTCTCTGTCTGTTAGGAGAACTCTCGTAGCTTTGTTTTATATAATCTGTAATTTCATTCTGTTATGATTAATTAATGAAATTCATATTCCAATTACTACATCCAAACTTGGGGACTAACACCCCGTTGTCCATCACCAACAAAAACTAACTTCCAAAGTTTAATCAAACATAACTAGATAAGAGTTTAGACTACAACTAGCTCTCTAAGCTAACACTAGTCTAACACGATCGCGCTCAAGAACTGGGCCCACCTGAAAGGGGTTAACAAACAAGCAAATAGAAACAACCTGTTAGCACGAATGCTAAGTATAATGCCACTCAACCCTGTAAATTACTATAGAATATACTTTTGGAAAACATTTGCCACGTACACTTAGATCAAGTATTCTCAATCACTTTAAACAACAACTCAAAATACTCAACAATAATTCTATATGCTTGCAACCTAATTATCACATAGGTATGCTTCCACAAACATTTACTCATCAACAATCTCATGCTTTCACAGATATATCTAATCATGGCGAAATACTCTACTCAAACTCAAATGGATAGATATAGAAATACTTAAACTTTAACGAGCAAACTCATGCTATCAAGTTAATCAACAATCAACAATATAAAGTCATACTTCTTCTCATACTTTCATGCAACACGTGCAACTCATATAATCACGCAGTAAGATGAACATGATGCGTTAAGTATAAGTACATAGATAGATATGCATACATACATACATACATACATACATACATACATACATACATTTTTTCTGTGGAGGTTTCTTAGAGTCGCAATGACTCGTTTTTCTCTTCTTTCTCTTGAGTCTCTTTACTCGCTTTCTTTCTTTCTTTCTTTCTTTCTTTACTCGTGGGCGAGGTAGGAACTTCACCACAATGTGAACGGACCTATCTGGGCTCGGCATCTAGCCGGACTAATACTCATCTCGCTTCGCTCACAGAACCACTCTCTTGGTTCTTTTCTCAAACTCTGTGCAATCAGGTATCGTACTTGTAACACCCCCTAATTTCCATGCTAAATTAAGCATTAGACATGCAGATAACTAGTCATAACATCATACACAGCGGAAGACTAAACAGGGAATATATGAATAGGAAATAAAGGGTGCTATGCCACGCCCACCTAAAGGTGAACGCACAGGCAAAACATCTGCATAAATCCAAAATCTAAATTCATTCAGAAACAGGAGTACTAATGTCTAACATTGGCACACAGGCCACAACGTTCTCAAAATAAAGGGATCTAAGCTAACAGGTTCTAGACCACACTCTCGTCTACTCAGCACCTGAAAGAAACACATAAAATAAGGGACGACGCTCGGTCAGCGAATAGTGCTGGTAACCCACCAATAAATGTGAAATATCATATGTAGATAGTTTATGTATATATACAAAATCATTTGCGAAACGGGATATAGATTATATAAGTTCAAATCCAAGAGTATAAGTCAACACAAGACTCTCACGCTCACAATAAAGATAAGGGAACACATCCCAAGACAATAAGAAGTATAAGGACACACAAGAACGGCTCAATGCATAATATACCATCACACAGTAGAGTAACACCGACATGCATAACACAAGAGAATAAGGATACAACCATCGGCAACACATGCCTTTGTGACATCACACGTCACAAATAGAGAAATACACAACAACGGGTACACAAGCCTTCGTGACATCACCCATCATGAATTGATATGCGTTCCTTATGCCCGGTTCCAACCTTTTGGCTGCCCCCAACCTTATGTCTAGTTCCAACCATTACCTCCAGGACCCCTGTACATTCAAGTCCAACCTTTTCCCTCCTGGGACCGTCGTCTCCCACCAACGACCACCAACAAGACCGCCGATTTCATAGTACACGAGGGTACCGATCACACACACAGCAACACATGCCACCCAAGAAATACGTGAACCTTACGCAAAGGTCACAAACTCCATAATCATGTCATGGCCACCACGAGGACCACTGCCGTACCTTGGTGACTAATGTCCCATACCATTAATCGTGCAATCTAGGTACAACCACACACACCACACCATAACAGGAATCAATCAACGGATCACAACGAAGATATGAAACCGTACTCAACAAGGAATGGATCACAGTCCAACAACAATGATGATTAACACAAGTCATCATCAACCAATAGGAAAGGACAAACAGCACACATGCTAGCATTTAAACACCGAACTAGCATGCTTATCAAACGGGTAAACTGAACATAGTTCCGAAGAACACACAAGACTCATCATAGTTCAACAAATCACAATGTTGAACACTTAGCACAATTCAAGACACCAAAACCTACATGGATTCCTACCATATAGTTCTAGACATACGAAACATCAAGAAGACACTCAAATAGTTCCACAAAAGAACATCGGGAAGTCAAAAGACCAAATATCGAGTCAAAAGAATCACGGGGAACAAATTCCCGCACAACCAACATATGTACCCAGCGGGTGGGCCCACGGGTGGACCTCCACCCGTGGTTCCGCCCGCGGGTAACAACACCCACCGGCTATATACCCCGCAGGTGGAGCTCTGCCCGCCGTTCCGCCCGCGGGTACACTACCCTGTACCAAAAACAATCCCTTCGGGGATTTTCAACTCCAAGCTCAAATTCAAGTCCAAAACATGCCAAAACTCACCAAATACAACAAAATGACTTGAATCAAAGGAATAGCCAAGCAATGGCACACATGAACCCTAATAACAAGCTCTAGATATGCATTCTCACAAGACAATGCATCAACACTCACATTTCATAGCAAAATCACATGTAGAATCCAAGAAATCATCATATAGGTAAGCAAAATAGATTTTTTAGAGCATGTGTTACCTCTTGAAGACTTATCCTTCACTTACAACACTCCACAAGGCTCCCTTTCCACACCCACTTCGAGAACACACCAAAAGAACATAAAGATTTCACCTTTTTAAAAAGATACCTTAGAAAACACTAAAAACACAAGAGGAGCTTAGATCTTACCCTCCTAGATGCTCAAAAGTATGAAAGGTAGAATCTTGAAGGCAAACTTGAAAGATCTTGGTAGCCCTAGGTGTGGCTTGGAGAGAAAGCTAACTAGCTTTTAGAGAGAAGAGAGAGAGCTTATGATTTTTCTCTTGGAGAGTGTTTGAAGAAATGAAATGTGTCTTCCTAGGTTAGCTTGAAAGACTATTGCCAAGGAAATGTCTTATTTACCCTTACTAAGATGAAATGTGTAAGGGAACAAGGGAACAACTCACAAAGCTTTAGGTACAACTTTTGACTTTGGGTTGACTAGTCAATTACTAGTCCCCGACTATTGAATTTTCAGGAATTTAAAGAATTAAATTACCAATTGAATTAGGATTAATTACTTAATTAATCCCTTAATCGAATTTGGATTACAGGGTGTCACAGTACTTGTTAGTGTGCACACCCCCTGACCGGGATTCCAAGCCCGGCGGGTGGTATCCAAATTAGTAACGTGAGAATACACCGCGTTACTTCACATCGGATCGCAATGTCCGTTTCTTTCTTTACTTTCTCTTTTCTTCCAAAAGGACATAGCCCTAACGGGCCTCTAAAACCACGGTTTACTCATACTATATACATATAGATATAGCTCATGCATTTCTTTCTCATGCAACAAATTAACTTATGCAAGCTCATGCACATAGTTTCTCAACAACTTCTCTTTCCCCACAAATTGGAAATCAAGTATCATGCAACTTCGCAATGCAACTAGATAATGATTTTCCAAAATAGATATAGGTTTTTGAAAGAATACTTAGGCTTACTTAGAGCCAATGATGCACTTTAAATCATGAAATGCTAAGCATGCTCTTTTACTGTAAAGTAATCTCAAATGCTCTTTCACTATGAATCAAGGAAACAAAATGCTACTTCATGCTTATAACTCAATACTTTGCAAAACTTCTTATCAAATACTTAACAAATATTGATCATGCTTTTTAAACTCAAGATAAACTTTATACTCTTGCAAATTCCAATTACTGTAATGCTAAGAAATCAAACACTGGATATCTCAAATTCTCACATTCTTGGCATGTTTCTCAATAAATCATAACAAATACTTAGGCATGCTATTCAAGCAAAACTTATCAAATAATGATCATGCTTCTCATTCAAATAGCTAAACTCAACAATTTATATTTTTCTTTCTTTGTAAACCAATTACAGTAAACAACATGAATAAACCTCAACACAATTTCTACTGTAAAACAAGCATTTCAACTCCAAATTCAACGAAATCAACTTCTACTAGTGCTTCGTAACGAACCCGAGTGTCCGAGCTTCAAGGGCCCACGAGTCCCGGTCTGAACGACACGTAGCTGAGCCACAGAGAGTCCGACCAGTAGGCTTTTTGGCTTGGCAGAGCTTGGTGGCGGGGTTTGAGGAGCCCCGCCACTTGGATCCGCCAAGCGGCGGCGTTGGGCAACGGATCTACCTGAGCTCCGTGCCCAAGAGCCGGCTCTCCACGGGACTAGCCAGCAGTCCCTGACTAGGACCGTTGGCTAGTTCCGTGAACCTGTCTGGTGCACAACAGTGTGCACCAGTGGGTTCCTTCTTCACCTGCAACAAACTCAGAGCGATCCAACACTCCCAAATCCTCAACAACACAATCATAGATCAACAATAGCTCACTAATAGCTCAGCCACAACAATAATCTAACATTTCTAAGCATTTACTGTGACAACCCAAAATTTTATTTTATAAATTTGATTTTTAAGAAATTCCAAAATAGCCATTTTCACCCTATAAAAATTTTTGCGATGAAATCGGTGTTTGAATAAATTATTTCGAACCCCTTTTAAATAAATTCAACACCGGGACTTATTTTAAATCTAAAATCCTAAATCCTCGGGTACATTGCGTACCT